ATCCTGGTGCTGCAAAATACTGTTTTTATATACAACAAAAGCGCATCCTGCTCTGCTCCCAGACTGCAAGGATCCGTCATTGTAGCATTCATATGCGTTGGGCAGAGTTTCTAGATGCTCATTTATAATTGCAAGTGCATACTGCTGAAGTATAGCAGGGGTGACACTGTCTTTTTGGGGGGCAGTCGTATAATAAAACGATGTCTACCTATAGGCGCGATTGGACAAAAAAATTCCCTAGAACAGTGGTTCCCAACTTTTCTGTCCTTTATTGATATGTGAGAGATAATTATCTTTAGGTACTGTTGGTGAGACAAAATCCAGTTTAATTCGAAGCCACAATTTTCAAACTGCTCTAAGACCCCCGGAAAGAATCCTATGGCACTTAGAGAGAGATTGTCACTCAGCCGAACCGCATCTTTGGGTGATTATGGAAGGCAGCATCGAACACTGAATCTGAATATTAACCCGTTTATTGTATAGAAGAAAAAATAAATAAAACGATGTCTACCTACAGGTGCGAATGGGTCAAATCATTCTTCAATATTATCAACCTTGTGAGAATAAGCGGTAATGATATAATCATCTATGAGGATCCTGTTACTCTCAAACACATATATAAATAAAAAAATAAAAGATAAATAATAATAAATCACCCTGCCCCCATATTCTATTCATTGGCACAACCACAGGTCTTTAAGCAGTAAAAATTAAAAGAAAGGGAATTCTCTTAAACTAAGAAAAAAAAATCTTATTCGGTTCTCCCAAAACAAAACATGAAAGATTATTCATTTAGAGATACCAGTCGACCATCCTCTTTCCACAAATCACTGCCGGCTTCTGAGAAAAAAATGTGTTCAATGGTCCTCTTCCCAAGGGTGCAAGGATAGTTCATCTTCCCTCTCTCTTCTCTCCCTCTCTCCCTCCCGCTTTCGGTTTGGCACGAAATTGCTTCCCTTTCCTCAAATTCTTCGTGTTGATAGTTACACCGTCCTAGCGGCGGGCGGTGTAACTATCGTTTTTCTGAGCGCCAAAAAGTTCTGCTACTTCGATATACCTTCTCAGGTCGCCTTTAAACCTCGCGCCCGTCAAAGTACAATCGCACAAAAAAAGGATACAACAGAAGTATATCTTCTAAGACATCAGATGATATGAAGTAGTTACATAGTTCTCCATACTTCACGCTAGGTGGTCTGAAAGGCTGTAACACATGGCACTCTGAGATATAATGTACAAATATTCTCTTATATTCTTCATTACACAGTTTACACTTACTTTTTTCGACCTGCCAATACATTCTATATCCAAGTCTAATTCTTGCAGTCACAACATCACACTGCCTTGTTCATGTTTTATATAAACCATAGATGAATGAATCTTGCCTAAACCGGTCTTAGTGCTTTATGCTACAGCTTTCAGGGCGTTGAGAATTAATTAACTCAATCAAGTCCTCTTTGAAGGAAGCTTTAATGATGTATAAAATCCTAGAAAGAGGTATCCCAAGATCTATATCCACACTTTGTTTGTCACATGCTGACTTTGCTAGGCGATCAGCATGATCATGCTTAAGGATTCCAACATGCGATGGAATCCACACAAAACGTATATTATGGCCTCGTTCTTTTGCACGATACACGTTTATCCTGATGTCATTTGCAATATTTCCCGCACTTTTGTCTAGAGTGTTCAGAGCCTGGAGAGCACTTTGTGAATCACAGAAAATCACCCCTGAGCCTTGATTCAATAGAAATTCGGTGGCCATGAGTATTCCTGCCAACTCAGTTTGCGTAGTGCTAGCCCAGTCATGAACCCTCTTACAATCCTGGTGCTGCAAAATACTGTTTTTATATACAACAAAAGCGCATCCTGCTCTGCTCCCAGACTGCAAGGATCCGTCATTGTAGCATTCATATGCATTGGACAAAGTTTCTAGATGCTCATTTATAATTGCAAGTGCATACTGCTGAAGTATAGCAGGGGTGACACTGTCTTTTTGGGGGGCAGTCGTATAATATATACTTAGGTCCGACATTTTCCACGGTGGTACAGAACGTCTATGTACGGTCTTATTTATGGGTATGTTCAGCTAAGTGTTTACACGTTACTTGTACCCATGGATTTGAGAATGAATCGGTGTTGTCATTCAAAGTTAGCTCTTCTATTCTGTGTTTTAGTTGTCTTTGGAACTCTGTACAATGGAAGGGTTCTCTAATTAATTTGACACTAAATGTGGTATTTATGTATAATATTCTTTCATAAAGAGAAGGCAAATTAAGTTCTGTTCTCATATTCACAATCCTTGTTGTTCTAGGGGCACCAAGAATGATCCTCATGGCTTCATTTTGTACACTTTCTAAACTAGTCAACTCTGATTCCTTGAACAATACTAGGTGCAATGCATGGTAATCTATGACCTACCTTATGTATGACAAGTAAAAGAGTCTTGCAATATTAACATTAATACCATGGTCTTTGCCGACAAGTGTCCTAAGTGGCTTCAGTCGCTCCCATAGCCTTTTCTTCAGGTTTCTGATGAACTCTGAATCATGAACAATCACCCCGAGGTATCTGTGTTGGTGGCAGAGATCTAGCTCAACGTCATTTATATGAAACCTTGGCAGAGGGATTGTCTTTGGGTTAAGTACCTTGTTTTTTCAGTTGAGATTATTAAGCCACACTCGGTAGCCCTCAGAAAGTATATCAAGAATCTCTTGTATTCTCTCCTCAGATGAGAATTTAACGCAAATTTCACTGGCATAGCAAATAATGGAGTCATTGCCTGCAAGTGGTATATCGCCCAGTAATCTATGCATTAGGATATTTAATAGCATGGGACTAATTACGCCTCCCTGAGGTATGCCGAGTTCAAATACTTATGTATGAGTACTCTTAATGCCTCTGAAGAGAACCTGAGCCTATCGATTTGATAGATACATTTAAATCCATATTAACAGTTTTCCCTGAATACCAAAGCTAGCTGGTTGCTTAAGGATAATTTCTTTTTTGCAATATCAAAGGCAGATTTAAGATCAAGGAATACGGTTCGCATGCCTGGGTTTGAGTTTAAGTACTCTGCCCTGGGAGAAATCCAAACAGTCTGGGGGATAACTTAGCATTTATGCGATACATGAGAATGTTCAGAATTATTCAGGTGCCAGTGGTGTCCTACCGGCACTGTCGAGCCTTCCACAATCACCCAAAAATGAGGTTCGGCTGAGTGACGATATCTCTCTAAGCGGCCATAGGATTCTTTCCGGGGGTCTTGGAGCAGTAGGAAAATTGTGGCTTCGAATTAAACTGGATTTTGTCTCACCAACAGTACCTAAAGATAATTATCTCTCACATATCAATAAAGGACAGAAAAGTTGGGAACCACTGTTCTAGGGGTATCAAAATAAAACGGTAATTGTTTTTTATTAATTTATGGTTAATTAAGGAACAATCAGACATAGAAATAAGTATTTAAAGAAATCATATTTAAAAACAGTACTATGATATTACTTTGAAGGCTTACAATGAATATAATTGTTCATTAACTTTGATGTTTTTGTGCTCATAAGAACATTAGTCAACATGTATCGTCACACACAACATCCAGGCTGGTATTTACGAGATCATGGGATTTAAGGACTGTCCTTAAAACGATGTCGCCTCTCTCGCACTGAAGGAATAATTGCAATGAATCTCTATACTGACTTTACCATTACACATTTAAAATATGTTTGCATGACACCCCTCTACATTTGTTGTCATGGAGTCAGTTGTGAAAGCACGAAATGTCATGTATGAATATCGAAGAGAATACTGCATTAAACATGGAGGATTTTTTTTTCCTTCTATTAGAATCTATTCTATGACCTCTCGTGAATCCCGCCCCAGATAACACATGGCTACACACCAACACAGGGGAAGTCACATATGCCAACACCGGAATACATGCTGCAACACATGGCAACACATACCAACATCTGAGAGAGAGATTGAGGGTGAGAGAGAGAGATTCTTCACTTCTATATTAATGGCTGATTTAACGATAAGCAGCTTGAAGAAACGGAAGTAAATAAAGAATAAAAAGGAATACCTAACTGCGCTTACCTCCTCTTGGCTTTCTTCTTTGTTACCAACGAATTTTCATTCAACAATCGATTATATTTGACAAACGTATTTTTCTCTATTACCTACCTAACGTTTTCTGTAAGGTATGGACCACCGTTGCAATCCGGCTATGCAATTCAGCGACCCACCTACACAAACACACACATACATATATATATATGAATACACATATATAATTCTAGGTATCAGACGTACTTAGGGTCCCTCTAGCCCGCCCCTTCAACAAGCAGGTTGACCAATCAGACTCAACCTACTATGGGCACTCTGTAGACCACTAGAAAACCAGTCAACGGTCGTTACGGTACCAGGTCACGCATAGGCCACGCCCTTTGTCCCTTGACCTCGTACCTGGACCTACACGAGGATTTATCCAGTGCCAGAAGTGATACCCACGTTCTGTCTCATTCTCTTTCTTTCTCGCCTTCATTCTGTTGCCTGTATCTCTCTCCTTCGCTTTTTCCCAGGTTGTCTTTTTTTTCTTGTTTTCCTTGGTGTATGGTGTATTGTTTTCCTATTTTTCTTTTTCTTTTCCTTTGCCACTGATTTATATATTTTTATCTTTCTCTGTCCTTCATCGTTTCTCATGTCATCTTCCTCTCTCTTACCCTTTTGGTTCTCATCTCTGCTGCGAACAACTGCACCTATTTAGTTTTCAACTTTTCTTATTATCTTTTTGTTGCATTTCCATTACTCTTATTGCCATTACCGTTCTTGTCTTTTTCATTATTATTACTGTTATAACGGTTATTCTCTGCAAAGGAATATCATGTAAGATAACATTCTTGCACGATGAGTAAGGGAAATAAGTCAATTTCAATAAGGATATAGATTTTATTCCATGAGGAATACAAAAACAAACATAACAAAATACAAACATACACACACACACATACATATATATGTATAATGAAACACTAGAGGTTTCACAAATTTCCTGAAGCCCAGTGTGGGAGGAAAAGGAGGCTGCATCTTCGTAAATTAGGTCTGGGCGTTGCCCTCTGACTTCGGAGGCTGGGCCATCAGCTGCGAAAGTAAGGCTCCGTGTGAGACTGTTTTCCCCATTCTATTTGCCTATTTCCGTATCACTTAATCGGTATATATACAGTCACGGTAATCCAGGGAGAGTAGGAGGAGGAGAAGTATGAATAGGAGGAGAATGAGGAGGAGGAGGAAGTGTAGAAGGAAGAAGGAGGAGGAGAAGAAGAATGAGGAAGAGAAGAAGAATGAGGAGTAGAAGAAGCAGGAGGAGAAGGAGGAAGAAGAGAAGAAGGAGGAAGAAGAGAAGAAGGAGGAGTAAGAGAAGGAGAAAGAGGAGGAGTAGGGAGAGAAGGAGAAAGAGGAGAAGAGGAGGAGGAAAAGGAGGAGAGGATTAGGAAGAGCAGGAAGAGGAGGAGAGGAAGGAGGCGGAAGAGTAGGATAAGGAGGAGTTGGAGGACTAAAAGGAGAAGAAAGATAATAACAATATTAAGTAAAAAAGAAGAAACAACAATAACAAAAAATAAGAAAATAAAATCATTAATCGGGAAATAAAATCTTACCTGGCCACGGTACTGCAGAACGACGTTAAGGAAGAAGATTCGGAGACCAATGGCAATGAAGCCCACGAGTCCAATGGCGCCAAAACCGAAGAGACTGATGACCACAGCCGCCGATCCGAGGCCGATGCTTAAGAACTCCCACACAGCCCAGGCTAGGAGGTAGTGGTGACGGCGCTGAAACGAGGGAGAGAATTAGGAAATTTCTCGTTCTCTCTTTCGTTTCTTTCGTAATTTCGTAATTGTCTTTCTCTTCTTTCTCATTTTTTTGTCATTATTTTTTATTATTCTCTTAATTTCTCTTTCTCATATTTATTTCTCTTTCCCTCCTATATTTTTCTCTTTGTTTTTTTCTCTTTCATATTTCTCCTGTCATATGCATCTACATGTACGTATCCATACATGTATATATGCGTATGTATATGTACATATGTATATGGACGAATGTATATGTATGTATATATGTATGTACATACGTATAAATGTGTGTTTGTATATGCAGATGTGTATATATACATGTATACATGTATACATGTATGTGTATTTGTGTATATACGTGTATGTGTATCTGTATATGCGTGCGTGTGTGGCTGAGGCTATGTTTCTGTGCGGATTTGGTTGTGTATACATGTGAGTGTGCGTTTACTGACATTTACATTTTTCACTAACCTTTACGGCACCGTATAACATCAAGGAGATAAAGACTATTGAGATTATCATCATACTAAGTGTGACAAATCCAGAGGCTCCAATGTCTGAAAAAATAAGCTAGATTTACTTAAATTGTCGTAAATTGATGTAAGTGATAATTCTTATTGCACATATTGCAGAAAACTACTAAAGGTAATATTTCATGTTTTCATTTTCTTCTCATCATATTTTTTTACTCAACGTCATGACCTACTTCTCACACCCACACTGCAGAAGACAGTGATTGCAAGGCCTAAGAAACTTAAGTGCACCACCTGCAAATAATACGTAATAAATTTACATTAGCGGGATTCGTGTTCATGTCATTATCATACAATCGAACACTGGTATAACACAGAGACATATCACAACAGATAACACATGACGCTCCACTATACGGATATAACAACATATGACACTCCACTATAACAGAGATGTTACAACAGATAACATGGCACTCCACTATAACACACGAGGCCAGTCTTACCAGGTAGAAGATGGCGATGCTGATGCTGCCCGCCCGATAACTGCAGCAGAAACAGCAGCTATTTGCTTCTTCGGGTTTCTCTGCTGACGCCTCTGAGGATCCTGGGGCGGGAGTAACTGAGTGTTCGGCCAGCTGCAGCTTTTCCTTCGTCGGGTAATCCATGCTGCACGAGAGAAGGGAAATCATTACACACAAGGTATGTATGCATATAAATACATATCTATATATGTATATATATGTGCATGTGTATATGTATACACACACCCACAAACACACATATACACTGTGTATATGTATACATACGAATGCATATGTACATGTGTATGAATGAGTGCGTGAGAGTATTTTTGTGTTTATGTGTGTATGTATGTCTGTGTGTGAGAGTATGTATATACTGTAGGTTTTTTAATGATAACTACTTTTTAGATCCTTCATCACTTTCTTTAGCACTACTTGAGGTGGGTAAACAATGATTCATAAATATTAATATATTTACACCATATTTCTCATAAACAAAAATCCGTTCTCTTCAGTGCTCACTCCTTGTAAATTCAGAGAAAACGGCAAGTTGTCTTGTTCAGATCGGAGTGGGGCGCTATTACGGCTACTCCTGTTTCGCTCATTCCCTGATTGGAGTTGATATAACAAACTTGATACTATATGAAAAGAGAATGCAGGTGAGCACCGTTCTCTCTGACAGATGTGGGTGAAAAGACGCGCCTACTTTGCCTGCTCACCGTCATCGCCTTTGTTATACCTCAAGCGTTCGTGTAAGATAGAGGGAGATGCTTCAAAAATCGTAGCCAAACTTAAATAACCTTTTTTATATAAATATAATAACGTAAACCCACATGTTACGTAAAATGAGTATAGTGAATGAATATTAGACCTATCCATAGGCATATACATACATACATATATATATGAATATATATACATATGAACATACACATACATTTATATATATAGATAGATATATAGATATATTATACATATATTATATATGTATTATATATATTATATATGTATTATATATATTATATATGTATTATATATATTATATATGTATTATATATATTATATATGTATTATATATATTATATATGTATTATATATATTATATAAGTTATCTATATATTATATATATGCATAAACATACACAGTAACGTGTCCACAAAAATGAAAAGGAAAACAGCAATAAACGCTATCTACCTAACGTTTTCTGTAAGGTGTGCACCGCTATTACAATCCGACTATGCAATTCAGCGATGCCTTTTATAAACTGACAAGTATGAGGTAAGGATTTTAGCGCCGGCAAGGTACGCCAGACGCCACGAGCACGAATGGTGAACAGAAGCGAACACGCCCCTCAACACAAACCACGACGCACTAAGAGAAGCCCTCGTTGGTGCAGGGGCCAATGCATCCACTTCGTTAACAGACAGCGACACGAGGAAGAGAGAACAACCAACAAATTGCAGATGAAATACGAGGTAGAGTAATTGCTTACGCCTTTATCCTGGGACTTTCTAAAACTACATAAAAAAAAAACAGTCAGCATTATACGTACCTCACAGTATTTAATTCTGAAATACGCGTAACCAACGAACACTTGAACACAAATGAATCCTTATGAACTTGTTAGCTTTGTTCCTAGCACTCGTCTATACTTTCAACGACTCATGGATCTTACCTGTGCAATTCCTTATATAGCTCCGGGGCCGGATACTCAAAACAGTTTACAATGATGTATCTCGTTACGGAGCCGTTACAATGTCGTAAGGCCTCCGAAGGCCATACTCGGTACAAAATTAGCCGCCATGTTATGACGTCACACATTGTAAAGTACCTTGTAAGTTACAACTGCTCTGGGGCTCTCGTACGGGTTTATTTCCCGATCTATTCGACAGAAACTTTTATTTGATAGTAACATGCCCTTTCCATATCTAATACCGGGGAATTTCAATTGTCTAGTATTTTCTTTGTCTTTCATGCATTATCAGTATCGTGAATCAAATAAAAATTAACTGTAAATTGAGTTGACAGACGACAAACAACAATGTTTTGGTGGCTGCTCATCTTCATGTCCGAGCATTGCAGCGTGAAAGATATAGGGAATCATTAGTTTCACTCTATGAAGAGGATAAGCATTTATTGCGATATCACAATTTCTTAGATTTGTTTTACTATAACCTCCTTCGATGCCAAATATCAAATTAGACAATCCTTTCAAGAATTATTACTCCGATAATCAGTGACTCTTCCGTGTGCAGACCTCATAAACACATTCTTCGTGTGCAGCCACGTGACTAAAAACCGTGACGTAGCCGACCGCCGCCTTGTTGGATGATATACAAGCATTCAAAATGGCGCCTCGTTCAAATAATAGTGTTACATCTCCGTCTTTTTCGGCGTATTACTCCACTTTAGAATCCTCTGCTAAGATTCCGAGAAAAAGAAATATGTGGCCTCGATCCATACATGTTAATAGCGTCCGATTAAAACCAAGATTTGAGAGCATTGCCGGATTTAAAATACCCTGATATCGTGAACTACCTGGTGCTACAAACCTCGTGGGCAACCGGAGAGCAAATTAAGGTTTACAAAAGTCTTGAAGCCTACAACTTCTTCATATCTGGCTGGGTTAACACTCTTCTGACCAAGCAATTGAAAGACGGCAGAATTCTTGTTCATGGTCGGGTTAATCATTCACAGCGAACAAGGGAAACTCCACTCAAACCGTGGTTTGTTTGCGAGAAAGATGGCAGTGTTGTCCTTGCACATTGTGATTGTACTGCAAGACTGAGTGAAGCGCGCTCTCACATTGGCGCTTTGCTTTTTGCTACTGAAGCCGGCTACAGAATAGGGGCTTCGTGAACATGCAAAGAAGAAAAAAGTAAGTGGCTTCTGTCGTGGCCAGCTCCGTCATCAGACGCAGCTCCCCCCGATTGTTCTCATCTTCTATCAACTGGTCGTGGATCTACAACCAACCTCATGTCGTGACGAAATGTTCATGTATAATTATGGAAATTTGTTAAAGGCCCGAGATGATAGTTACTGCTACAAATTAGAGCATGGGGTTCACATTAAAGAAAATTATACTTTTGGGGGACTATTTTTAATTTAGGGTATTCTGTTTGAAAGTACTTTTTATCCATTAACTTTCTAGATGCGATCCCGTAGCCCTTTTGATGTTTTTTATATATATCGTTTTAGTTTTTAGTTTTGCTTTGGTATTTTTATAGTTTCTTAATGCATTTTGGTTCTAAGTATTTCCATTTTAATTCCTATATTTTATTAATTTTAGAATGGTTAGTTTTTATGTCTAGGGATATTTTATCAGAGCACATATGCAAATTTTTACTTCTTAAAATGTGGGGCACCCGCGAGAGAACCGTCGGCCAAGGAAATGGGCGGGGTCAAAGTTGATCTAGCCACCTTAGGTGGTGACGGTCGCTTCTTCTGCTCGAGGGGGTGATTGGGGCAAGGAGGCCGGAGAGACAGGGTTCAGCTGGTCGGCGTAAGTGGTCGTGTACGCGCAGTGGTAGACAGGTCGTAGTGGGCAGGCTGGCAGTTTAGAACCATCATTAGGAAATCCCGGTGCCTCTTTATTTTATATTGTCCTTCATCTATGTAATATTCTTCCTTATTGTATTTTGTGCTTTTAAAGTAATTTCAATTTTTATTTCTTAATGCTGAAGTAACCCCCCCAGGGTTCAACCATTTACCATTTTACTGTTTTTGATTTTTTAAAATATATTCTCTTGATTTGAACCCTTATTAATGTTTCTATGAGTTCCTCACCAAAGTCATTATTATTGTAAAGGTAAAGGAAAGGCAATGGAAACAGTGTGAAGTTAAAAGGATCGGCGACTTGGAAATATTGAAGATATAAATCAATTATACTCTGAGATTTTATAGGTAATTATAAGAAATCTTTCACTAAGAATATACGCCTGTAAAGTTAAACAAAAGTAACTACAATGAATCGATAAATAACGAGGAAATGAAACCTAATGATAAAGACCCTCAGTAATAACGATGACAAATGAAAGGAATGCCCGATTTTCAACTTGGAAATGATAAATTATAATTAAAGTCACTACCTCCTTAAATAGTTAATGGGCTTAAAATACAAGTTCAGGTGCTAAAATAACGTAGAAGGTTCGATTAAACGAGGTTCAGTTGTCGGAGAATTTGTTTATCAACAAATCAGAGCAGGTATGTTTGAAGTCTAAAAAAAAAAGAAACCAGTGATTTGACCATTGTGGACGCTCGATCACTAAAGACCCCGCGCACGGTGACGCTGGTTGGGTTGTTAACGGAGGAATTCCATACAAACGTTGTTGTGAACGATCGCAGAGGGATTTCGTCTAAACACTGTTACTTGCCGCTCATATAACCCTCTGTTGGGCGAAGCATTAAGGTACAGCAACGAAGTTTTTCGCTTACGCCTTTTTGTTTTGGTTCCCCGTACTTAGGAGGTATAGAGTTCAACATAAAACATGGGAAGGTCAGAAATGAGAGTGGAAGGGAAGTCGGATAGTAAATTAAGAGCTTCCTAATTACACCTGAACGAAGTCGAGACTCGCGAGTGTGAGGTGTGCTCGCGTGCGCGTCCTCCCCCTCGGTTTAAACACGCTTACCAACTCTGTCATACACGTACTCCACACACACACGCACACACATACACGTCCTATCTTTCTGCACATACCCTTGTATTCGTATCTCACACACACGCACATATACGCGTTCCCACACGCAAATAAGTGGGTGGTGGCAGCTCAGGTGTGTAAGCCACAGGGGAAGGCCTATATACGTAATTTAAAAAAAACTATAATTGGTATCACCTCCACCGCAGGTCGTCCGCTGGGTTCTCGCGCGCACCTAACGCTACACTTCCATCGCACGTTAAGAATGTTCCGTATTTGCCTGTTTGTGAAATAGATTTTACGTCGGCCAAAAAGAGACGGCTAGTTTCCCTATAAAAACATGAATATCGGTTGTAAATTAGTAAAAGTTATTTCGCGTTCAACCGCCAACGGTCGTACAAACAGCAAAAAGCAATAAAAAATAACACTAACATACCAGATATGAAGTGGTCACCACAAACATGGGTGTATTATGCTTTGCTTTTCTCCTCATTGAGATCTTCACGATGGATGTGTTTCATCAACCACAACGCGCGACGTTCACTGGAAAGTTCTTTATCGCATTTGTCTCCGTTGTTTATTATTTTCGGTATTCTGAAAAATCCTTTCTCTTTATCATGCGTGGCATTATTACCACAATTATATACTGCACACAAGTGGGCATTATTAGAGTAAAAAGGCTATTAATGCTGGAAGATATCACGGAGCGTAATTGCAACTCTCACTTGCAATCTTGGTTGTTTATCATCCAACATGGCGGATTTCCGGTTTGGAAAAAACTGTGACGTTACGTGCACACGAAGAATTGTTCTTTGTTATAGAAGTAACAAAGGCAAGCTTAGGTTTAAATTGATAGTATGACTTAATAAGGACTAGGGCTGGGATACTCAAAACTACCCGTCTGTTACAAGACCGAGGACGTTGTAACCGCTTTACTAAATCGTACCTTCCGGTCTCCTTACTGCATTGCGAACCACCCTTACTCAAAAAATAATTACAATGTAGTAAGCACATTGTAAGGCCCGTGTTTACGTGTTCACGGGGAAGAGAGAACCAACAAATTGCAGATGAAATAGGAGGTAGAGTAATTACCTGCACCTTTATCCTGGAACTTGATTTTCAACATACATTTCTAAAACTACATAAAAAAAGTCAGTATTATACGTACCTCAGAGTATTTAATTCTGAAATACGAGTAATCAACTCTTTCACACACACACAGACATACATACACACATACAAACATACACGCATACACACACACAGACATACACTCACTCATTCATACACATGTACATATGTATACGTATGTATACATATACACACAGTGTGTAAGTGTGTCTTTGTGGGTGTGTATACATATACACATGCACACATCTATATCTATATATACATATATGTATGTATGTATTTATATGCATACATACCTTGAGTGTGTAATGTTTTTCTTTCTCTCGTGCAGCATGGAGTACCCGACGAAGGAAAAGCTGCAGCTGGCCGAACACTCAGTTACTCCCGCCCCAGGATCCTCAGAGGCGTCAGCAGAGAAACCCGAAGAAGCAAATAGCTGCTGTTTCTGCTGCAATTATCGGGCGGGCAGCATCAGCATCGCCACCTTCTACCTGGTAAGACTGGCCTCGTGTTATAGTGGAGTGCCATGTTATCTGTTGTGATATATCTGTGTTATAGTGGAGTGTCAAGTTATCTGTTGTGATAGATCTGTGTTATAGTGGTGTCATGTCATCGGATGTGATATCTCTGTTATAGTGGAGTGTCATGTTATCTGTTGTGATATTTCTGTGTTATAGTGAAGTGTCATGTTATTGGTAATGAATAGGAGGTAGAGTAATTACCTCACCTTTATCCTGGAACTTGATTTTCAACATACATTTCTAAAACTACATAAAAAAAAACAGTCAGCATTATACGTACCTCAGAGTATTTAATTTTGAAATACGAGTAATCAACTCTTTCACACACACACAGACATACATACACACACATACAAACATACACGCATACACACACAG